TCTCATCGTCCATAATCACACATTCAAATTTTGTGAGAATAGCGTCGTACAACTTGCGTGCTCTGGTTTTTGCAGTACAGTCTTGCTTGTCAGTTCTGTTAGGGGCTTTCCGAACTTTAAATGTTCTCAGCCCTTTTCGCTTTTTTACCTTCTGCACAAAAGAAGATGATTTTCCGACTTTTTTTGCTACATCTCTCACCGATATGTTGGGATTTTTCTTGAAGATGGCAACCACTTTTGCTTCTGTTTTCTTGCAAACAGGACCCGTTTTTCTGCCCGTTCCTGGTTTGCGTTCTATAGATAAACGTCTAATAAAATTGTTTATGACATTTGCCACAGTTGATTTTCCAATACCGAGACGTCGGGCGATGGTCCGATACGATGCCGTAGAATCTTCGGTATATATGTGCAAGATTCTTTTTCGGAGAGCGTATTGTTTGGATTCCATATTCACTATTATCTGGCAGATCTTATTGCAATGACATTTCATGGAAACAACTGAACCTAAGTAAACTCTCGACCCATGCCTACTCGATTATACCCTAGTTTTATGGGAATTATTATTATTTTTATGTGGCCAATTTTTTTCGTACAGTCTTTAGAACGACATTTTTATTATTTCATGGATGGTAGCATTTTCAGGTGGGTTCGGAATGTTGAGTGATAACAATTTAAAAACTGACCTAAGGTTGTGAGAATACATCGAATTATTTGGTAACTGAAAACGAAATTAAATGCGGCTGGATAAAATCACACCGCGATCTAAAAAGGAAGACTCATGTTTTTGAACGTTCCAAATATGAGTAAGACACAAATATTGGTCAATAATTACATTTAATCGATCTCCAAAACTGTTCCATATTTCCAAAAAAAAAAGTTTATAAGCTCTGCAAGATAAAGGTTCACTGTATACAGACTTTACCTCAGTCGGTCATGAGATTTTAACTATTCTTACATTTATCTATTTATTTATTAATGAAAACAGAATGAAAACGTGCAAATTTCTTAGTGGCAATAGTGGCTCACACCAGTTTCTACATAGGAATAAACCTCTTATTAATAACTTAAAATAACTTAAAAAAATAGCTTAAAAAAACACAAATGTAACTTCATGATAATCGCCGTTTCAAGTTGAACATATCACGCTGTAGATAATACAGCTCAATACCAAACAGAAAAGCTGGCGAGACAAACTGACGAAAACAAAGTTACTCCACTCGCATGTCCAGTTGCAGTACAATAATTCCTTCACCACTTCTATTAATCAGAAACTGGTATAGTTCATACTGAGAACTTCTATTTAGGTGTAATTACGGAGAAACAAAAAGAAAACAAAAAAAAAAAAAGAAACGCCGGACAATACCACAACAATCAAATACTAGGCAAGTACATGTAGGAACGATGGCCAATGGAACTACAAATGTCTTTTGTACTCTGTATTTTACAAATGGTTGTGTCAAGGAAACAAGATAAAACAACTTCAAAAGCCTTCAGCGAAATTTACTTAACCAATAGTGCGCACCAGTCCTTGCAATTTTCACGTTGAAATTTTAAGATCCGTAAAGCCTTACGGTAATAACCCACACTCCACACAGAGGACGCATTAAGTATAATGCTTTAATAACACGTTTTCACTAGTGAAAAATATATGGTATCATTGATTGTGCTGCAGCACAACATATTTGTAGCTACATATACATACTTTGGATATATTGCTTCGTTGCATCGAAAATATTTTGCGAACGTTCGCACCCATGGGTTCATTAATTAATTTGGTATACCTAATTTATATAATATTTTTCCCCTCTTTGTTTTAGCGCATAGTTTAGGTAGGCCTTATCTTAAATCTAGAACCAATCGTCGCCACAAATTTTTGTACGTTATTTAATTGCCGATGAGTGAATGTTGAAATCCCTTGTGCACATATCGGTGATCTGTATACGATTAAATTCGTAATAGTTTTGTTAGCAGCCGCTGATGCGCAGTTATACTGGTAATTTCTATAAGACGCTTATCAGAATCTAGAATCCGGACGTGTAGGTACCTACAGAATAATCCCGCTGTTTAAATCATTGTTACGAGCACGTATCGCAATTATTCTTAATAACTAAAGGAAATAGTAACGAATCCTATGTCGCCCAAACAATATTTCAGTACTTAAGTACTAAAACACATTGAAATGTAACGGAGTTCTAACGAACTTGGTAAATCCTACAAAACTTCAGCGGTTTCATGATAAAATAACCATGTAATTTTTGTGGAAATATACCATGATACATTTTGCAAAACATAATATTCTACTCAGCATTATTAAATTTGATTAATTTTTAAAACTGTAAGTGGTGTTCTACAATCAACATCAAACTCCACCTCAGATAGGGTCACAGTCTGAAAATAACCTGACGTGTGACAGAAAAGTACTCAACATTATTAAATGTTCATCAGAGTGTGAAAGTTAACATTCTGCAAATATGAGTCTTGTACTCCCACACAAGACGGTTAGAGAAAATGATTTGAACCCAAATGTCATGGTTAAACCTGAAATTAATATTAAGGAGGAAATCATCAAAACGAAGAAACTTTTTCCTATTCAGTATGAACCCTGAAAACTGAAACAAAATGTGAACCCTGAAAAATGAAAGTGCCCAGTGCTATTGTTATGAAAATATGAATCCAGAAAAATAACATGAAAAATCACTTTATGTGGTGTTCTATATCAAACTTCCGATCAGATAGGGACTGAGTCTGAAAATCCCCTGAAACAAGGAACAGAAAAGTCCAAGTTTTTAAAAAAGGGTGTCCAACATTATTAAAGTTTATGAGATTATCAAATTTAATATTATGTAAATATGAATTACTGTACTGTCATACAAGATTGTTGGAGAAATTCCTCTGAAATCTAATCTTATGGTTAAACCTAAAATTAATATTACAAAGTAAATTATTGATATGAAATAAATTATGTTCACACTATTTTTCATACCATCTAAAACCTGAAAAAGAAAATTAAATGTAAATCCTTCGAAATTAAGCACCCACAGTTATTTTTTAATAAATGTGAACTCAAAATAAAAGCTCAGGAAACTATTAAATATGTAGAAGAAAACATGGCCAGCAAAGAAGCAGCCTCAAAAACTGAGTGAAGTAAATGAACAAAAAAGTATTGGAAAAAATCAAAATAACAAAATCATTCCATGTGTAATTCGTGCTTCCGAGGTTTACGATGCGCAAGCATAGCAAGTTTGATATAATTAAAAGTGACATTGCAAGTCAAAGCAATTATGCATAAAATTAATAAACGATAATAAATAATAATAGATAATAATAGATAATAATATTGCTTGCAGCTGTCAGAAAAAAAAAAGAAAATATGATTTTGCTTACTGTTAATGTAAACTTGAAAACAAAGCTTACTTTAATAATATTCCAGTATGTTCCCATTCAAACATAATGATGAAGATATCAGCCTTCAGTCTTACAAAAATCCAACCTATGATGCAAACAATGACCAGTTCATGTAGTATGGTAATTTTTTAGTCAAAATAACAAAATTATAGCATGTGTGATTCGTGCTTCCGAGGTTTACGATGCGCAAGCACAGCAAGTATGAAATAATTAACGATCAAACGAACTTACCTAGTGAAGTTCGATCGTAATTATATGAGTTGTCCAGTCCGAAGATATCACTTAATGAAAACAACGTAGTCCGCCTCTGGTAGGCCCACTGCGCACCTTATTTAAAGAAGAAAGCCCTTCTCCGTCTCAGCCGCCGCCGCGTTGCATTTCATTTGTTTAAAGGAGCCTTCGCGGGGCAGCAACTGCAACTGTGGGAAGGGCCGACGATGGTTCGGGAGGGAAGTGATATCTTCGGACTGGACAACTCATATAATTACGATCGAACTTCACTAGGTAAGTTCGTTTGATCGTTAATTATATTTCGTGTCCAGTCCTCAATATCACTTAATGAAAACAACGTAGATGTTTAGAGAAATGTTGCAGTTGCGGTAAAAGGCAGGGATAATGCTGCAAGTTTATTAAAGAATGATGATAATAACTAAAAGAAAATCCTTAAGCCTAAGGTAGATCAGCGTGTCTACTGTGCGAAACGTTGCAGACTGCTCTTGCGAATTCGTTAGGAGGAACGAGTGGCCTATTGTAGAACTTCGCGAATGTTGCAGTTCTCTGCGACCAGCCTGCAGTTTTGCATATTACATCGACGGCGATGCCTTTTCTCAGTGCTGCGGATGTTGAGCTATGGCGGGTAGAATGTGCTTTGAAAACGGAAGTGTCGATGCCTGCGGCCTGTAAAAATTCTTTTACCCAGCGGCTAAGCGTTTGTTTGCTAGCCACTAGATGTGGGCGCCTGTAGGATAGGAATAAAGTGTCCTGTCCATGACGCAGGCATGATATCCGGTCAATGTATTCCGTTAGAGCGGATGCACAGCATAGGAATCGCTTTTCTTTGAAAAATGGTATATGGAGTGTGGGTTGTAACTGGTTTCTACCCGAGGTTTTGATGGGATCGGCTATCAAGATTTGGATTGCGTCTTCTCCGTAAATGAAGTTGGAGAGCTTGATTTTTGCGATTGTCTGCGATCTGTGGCCCGTAATCAGGCACAAGAGGGTTACCAGCTTCCGGGAAAGCTCCTGTAGTGTAAGGGGGTTAGGTAAGCGCTCCGCATACTGGAGAAGAGAGTTCGGGTCCCAGGTAGCGTTATATCGGGGTGCTGCCGGTCGTAGCTTTGATAAGCCTTTCATGAAACGGTTCAAGATTGGGTTGTCCGTAACAGAAGGCTCTAAAATCAGTGAAAGCACCGAGCGATGCGAATTAAAGGAACCGTATTTTAGGTTGGCCGTTTCGAATATGTTGTGGAGAAACCGAATGAGTTCCTCCGTAGTAGCTTCGTATACCGAAATACCTGTCTGGAAGCAGAAACGCCACCAAAGACGAAATGTTGTGTTGTATTGTTTGAGGGTGTTCTCGGACAGCGACGCCATCATTATGGAGATGGCGTTGGAAGGGAGGTTTTTCCTGCGGTACGCTTCCCCGATAATAGACCGGCAGCCAGGGTAAGGGTCTTGGCTAGTGGATGGTGCTCCCTAAATGGAGATAGCAATAAGTTTGGGTCAGGTTCGAAAGTTATGGTGTCTTGCACCAACAATTGTACAAAAAGTGGGAACCATGGTTGAGTTGGCCACCATGGAACCACCAGAATACCAACAGCATTGTCGTGGACGATTTTGTTGAGTGTTCGCAGAATTAGGTTAAACGGAGGAAAGGCGTAAAAATAGAGGTCGCTCCAACTAAGTGTAAAGGCATCCACTGCTACCGAGTCTGGATCCCTCAGCCAAGAGACGTATCGCCTGCATTTATGATTTAATTTGGATGCGAATAAATCGATCGTCGGGGAGCCAAATGTGGATACGATGCAACTAAAAGCAGAGTCTGAAAGAGTCCACTCTGTGTCGAGTGGTAGCTGACGAGACTCTCTATCTGCTTCGAAGTTATTCTGCGAGCTGATATAAGAAGCAAATAAGTGTAATTGCCTTGATTCGCACCACTGCCATATGTCTCTAGTTAGGGCATTCAGTTGTGGATGTTGAATGCTCCCCATTCTGTTAATGTAGGAAATTGCGGTTGTGTTATCGCACCTAATTAAGATTCTACATTTGGAGCGAGTTTTAGCAAACGATTTTAAGCCATAAAATATCGCCTGCAGTTCCAAATAATTAATGTGGTGGGAGCGATCCGCAGCCGACCAGTAGCCATGCGTTTTTTCTTTGTTGCAATAGACGCCCCAGCCAGTCAAGGACGCATCGGTAAAAATTTCCACAGCAAAGGATCCCTGTTCCAGGCTGTTTGAGGCAGAGGAAATGTTTCTCTCCCACCATAGTAGATCCTCGTTTAAACTTTGCGGTAAGACCATCATCGCCTCATAATTACCGTTGTTTGCCAATAGAGCGAGGAATTTGTGGCGTTCGAAGGATTTGGTATACAGCCAACCATACTCGACAGCTGGACAAGCCGCTACTAAGATACCGATGAATTTAGCAAATAATCGAATTTTGCAACCTGGTTTATTTTGGAAATAAAGTGCCCATTTTCTAATGTTGTGTTTTTTAACCACCGGCAATTCGAGTTTTAGACTTAGGCTATTGAAGCAAAACCCTAAATAACGACAGTATGTGTTGGGGTGTAGGTTGCTTTTCTCACGGTTGATTATAAACCCTAACGAGTTCAGTAGGTTCACTGTACGAGTGGTTTGCCTGGTACATTCTGTGAAAGAATCACTTAAAATCATGAAATCGTCCAAGTAGTTGACACAGAGGACGCCCGAAGAGCGTAACGCTGAGACTACTGGTTTCATGATTTTTGTAAAGCAAAGGGGGGCCACCGATAAGCCGAACGGCATACAAGTAAATTAGTACAGCTGGTCATTAAAAAGAAATCGCAAGAACCGTCGATGGCGACTGGTGATGGAGATTAGGAAATAAGCGTCCTTTAGATCTATACACGTCATGTAAGTTCCGGACCTTATTAAACGAATAACAGTTCTGTAATCTTCCATTTGAAAATGGTCAGGTGCAAGGTAACTGTTCAGGCGTTTTAAGTTTAGTATAAACCGCTTTTTACCATTTGGTTTACTGGCGAGAAAAAAAGGGAGAAATAAATTGGTCTGGACGAGGTGTGCATTTAACGATTGCCCCTGAGCGCAGCAGGTCTGCTACCGCCACCTTCAATTGTCTGAATTCCGCGTTCGACCACTTGGGGACAGTCGGTTGAACCGCCTGACTGGGTTTCGCTCTAAAGGGGATTCTGTAACCTCGTATCCAAGACAATATTGTGGTATTCGTGGTTATTTTTTCCCATGAGGTGTAAAAATGAGACAATCCACCTGCAAACCTTACCTCTAACGTCTCCTCCGGTACTGGTATTTTGTGGGGTCGCTCTTCCGCGAGGTCTGCCCTTTGAATTGCTCCTCCCCCCTCGCGTAGGTGGACGGGCGAGCTCGGTTTAAATTGCGACTTGGCTGTTTACCTGCTCCCCCCCCTCTTCTTTTTGGGGTTGGTTTATTATGGCCTTGGTAAGAAGGCCGGATGTCTTTGGCAGCTCTTTCCAAGGACTTCACAGACTTTATTTGGTCCCCAAAATCGGGCCCGAAGAGAAGCGAACCGGGCTGGGTTTGTTCCGCCAAATTTCGGAATATGTTTGACCTTGACTTTTGTGAATGGTTAAAGCTTCTGCAGGCACAAGCGGAAATTGTTTTCTCCAAATCTCATAATTTCCTTTGAAATTGACTGGATTGGATCGTTTCTCTATTGGTACCAGGTGTGTGCACACATCATTGGTTTTTACAAAGTTCTCATATTTACTTCTCAATTTTTGACCTATCCTTTCATTATGCCTATGTTTTTGAATTCTAACATACGGATTCGTTTCGTCTAGGGTGCACGTTACGAATTTATCAATGAATTTGGTGCAGGTTTCTCTGTCATATTCGGTATCAAATTTGGGAGCATTTTCCAACCATAAAAATATGTGCTCGTGAGGTGAACCTCTAGCTTGAAATTCAACTCTTTCGTAACTATCCAAAACTTTATATCCTCCAAAAGGACCTGCTTCACTTTTTATGTATTCCATCAACCTTCGAACCTTATTATCATAGTATCTGGCACACGTTACCGGATCCAGTTTGATCAGCTCGCATTTCTTATTGTCACTTAATTCGAATGCTTCTTTAACATACAGTTTTTTATCATCCGCCAATTTTGACAATGACTGCAACAATTCGGGCCATAACTTTTCCGCAGACGATAGCGTTAAGAAAAACGTTGGTGTACCCAGTTGGCGAATCATTGCCATTAAATGCTTTTTCTTTGTTTCCCAGTATGCCGGCGATGATCGAATTTGGTTCAAAACTTTGAAACCGGCGTCATATCTGATCATGTCTTGAACGATGTCCTTGTTAAGCATGTCTTTGGCTGTCATATTTTCTGTTTTGCGTAATTTTCTAAGGCATACATTAATATTGGCCATACAAGCTCTTTCCAGTTTCTGTTTCGCCATATAAAGAAGTCGTGTTGGTTTGCAAGACCTTCTGTCTTTACGACGAATTTCTGACTTTGCTCTTTCCGAGTAAGAAATGTTCGTTCCTTTTAGTTCGAAAGGGTAACCTCCAAATATTTTCGGAAAACATAGTTCATCTATGTTTTCTATAATAAGCCAAGGTGCCGGATGCTTTCCTTGTCCAGGGGCAATACTGACTTGTTTGTTGTGGTCTGCTATTTCCTTGTTTCTGTCTACGATTAAAACTTCATCATCTGATATGTTGTTTTCTTCATTATCACATTCTAATGGCTTGTCTTTATCGTCGTTATCGTCTTTTGCATCTTCAGAAGCCGACAAATACTTTGGCTTCTCCTTCAAATTATGTTCGTTATGTTCGTCGATACTCATTCCTTCCCATTCAGATGAAAGATTCGTATTTTCATCTTCATCTCTTTGGATTTCTTCCTCGTTTTGTTTATCCATATTTTCGTGATCGCTTTCGTCAACAATAAAATCAATTTCTTCATGAAAATTTTCAAATTGTCTAAAATATTCTTCCTTAATTTCAATGCCATGTTTTTTGTACAGAGGTGTTTGTATAAGAAATTTCAGAGCTCTGCAAACATGAGCGGGTCTGATGGCCTCGTTCATATAGTGTGTTTTGTGGTCAACATGTCGTTTTAACTTAACTTGTATCACTGACATATTGTCAAAACTTCTTGGTAGGACCTTGACCATTTCATCTAATTCAATTGCAGTGTTTACAACGCTACCTTTTAGAGAAAGTTGAGGATGAATTGCATACGGTTTTAAAGGTCTTATTTGCATGAAATTAATAAAAGGTGCCACCATCCGTTTTTCCAAGTCAGAAAGTGTGGTAATCAAAGGCGGTAACTTTTGAAATTTTAAATCATTACTTGTTGCTAACTTTGGGACCACACCTGATTTAACGTATTTGTGACAGGTTTTACAGATATAGTCAGAATTGCAGTTTGTTATTTGTTCTAAAAATTTGTTGAAAGCAGGCATACCAACTTGCTTTGTCATTGTTTCTAAAGACATTTTGTTAAAGTGTACAACAGACTGTTTAAAAAATAAGCCTTCGCAACAAATACAACTGAAATCTGGCGAATTATTACGAGACGAAATGAACTGCAGCTTTGATGCAGATGATGGACTCTTCTGTTTTTTAAGTGTATTGATATACTGCTCCCTGAATTTATGGAATTCATTTTCACGTTTTAATCTCTTTGCCTCTTTATCGTGTTCTCTCTCATTATTCCTAAACATGCGTTGCTTCCGTTTTTCTTTTTTTTTCATTCTATCTATTGTCATCTCTCTTTCATGAAATTCCTCATCTGCCCTTGCTTCCTGTTTCCTCACTCGATCTCTTTCTTTCTCTGCTTGGTGAAATTCTTCATCTACCCTTGCTTCCTGCTTCTTCACTCGATCTCTTTCTTTTTCTTCTTGGCGAAATTCTTCATCTGCCCTTGCTTCCTGCTTCCTCACTCGATCTTTTTCTTTTTCTGCTTGGTGAAATTCTTCATCTGCCCTTGCTTCCTTCTTCCTCACTCGATCTCTTTCTTTTTCTTATTGGTGAAATTCTTCATCTGCCCTTGCTTCCTGCTTCTTCACTCGATCTCTTTCTTTTTCTGCTTGGTGAAATTCTTCATCTGCCCTTGCTTCCCGTTTCTTGACTTTGTCTCTTTCTTTTTCTTGTTGCCGAAATTCTGCAACCTGCCTTTTCGCTCTCCTTGTTTCATTTTCCTTTTCACGAAATCTTTCATCCATCCTTGATTCCTTCTTCTTCCTTTTGTTTCTTTCTTTTTCGTGTTGGTGAAATTCATTCCCTTGCTTTGTCACTTTCCTTCTATGCTTTTCTCTCTCACAACAGTCCTCATCAAACCTTGACCCTCTACCGTTCACTCTCTCTCTTTCCTTTTCTGTCTCGCGAAATTTTTCCTCTATTGTTTGTAATGTTATTGTTTGGTTTTCTTTTTCGACACATTTTTTACCTTGCCCCAATTGATTTGTCTGATTCTTGTATTCGTTTTCGTAGTGTTTAAAGTTCAAATGCTCTATCTTTGTTTCTTTTGCTACTGTTACTATATTTTTTTTTAATATTTCCCGATCCCCCCTTTCTTTTTTTCCGAAATTTATGACTTCCGAAATTTCCGTTTGTTGCTGTTTCTTTGTTTTGCTAGTGCGGTAGTACCCCTTTTTTTTCCTGTTTTTTGAGGCAGTGGAATTTATGGGTCTTTTAACCTTTTTCTGATGCTTCACAATCATTATAAATTTGAATGGAGAATGGGAAAAAAAAAAGAAAAAACACAATTAACCGAAGTTAAAATTTAGTAATTCAAAAGAAATTATTCAAACTCATATTGGATCAGCGGTGATGTGTGAGTTTTATAGTAAGTTCGAAACTCATTTGCAAGTGGAAACAAATGGCAACAAAGTGAAAATGATATTCCTCCCCAAATAACAAACAAATGAAATGCAAGACAAGAGATGAATGGAAAAATTTCATATGTGTCTCCTTATTGCAGTGGTAGCAAGTAGTGCAAAGTACAGTATAACTTCTATGATCCGAACCCACGATTATCCGAACATCCTGTACTCCGAACAAAGGCTAGTTGAAGTTGAAGTCTCTTTAATCCGAACAAAAACTCTGCAATCCGAACTGAACTTGCAAACATGCACCGACATGCAAAAATGACGCAACATCTCATGAATGCATTTACTTAAATTTCGAAAAGGGTCGAAATTTGCATAAATTTCATTTTTGAAAACGCCGTCCAAAAATTGTATATATATAGATCTTGACCCGCTGATTCCAAAAATATAGCGTGTTTATTGTCACCGAGTAATATTTTTTGGAATGTACATTTTGGTTATCCATTGTTGCTTAAGAGAACTTTATTTTTGTTTAATAAAATTTAAATTCATTCCTTGAAATTTGTTTTTGCTAATGTATGAAGTTGTTGTTCATTTCCCTTTCATATTTTTTGGAAAATCGCTTATCCGAACAAATCGCTTATCCGAGCACACCTTTTCCCTGATTAATTCGGATTATCGAGGTTATACTATATCTGTAAATGGTTCATACATCGCAGCACGTTAAAAAATTGTGCGGATGCTCAAAAGCGAACCAAAAATAAATTCCCCTTATAAAATAATTGACGACGTTTGCATTTATCTTTGGTCGTACAGTCCGCCCTTCGAAAGAATTGCTGAGGTTTTCTAAAAATTTTGTTGAATTAATCGTTTGTAAAATATGCAAAATTCTAACTATTTGCTTGTGGTTTACCAATGCAT